GCCGCCGCCATGCCGCGGATACGCGCTCGTGGGGTCCGGCGCCAGGCCGTACTCTTCGGTCCAGTGACGCCATCGCGCCTTGAAGCGCTCGAAGGCGTCGTTGTTGGCGAACGCCGACGGCACGGTCGCGGCTGCGGCTGCGGCCGCAGCCGACGGGGCGTCCGCGCGGGCTGCCGCCGGCGGGCCGGCGAGAGCGGCCGGCGGCGCCGCGGCAGACGCCATGGGCGCGTCGTGTCAGCAGCGGCGGCGGCGCCCGTGGCCGACGGTGGCCGTGGCAACGATCGCCCGAGCGTCACAGCGCAAGTCTACAAGGGCGCGGTTGGTCGAGCCTGCGCGTGGTGCGGCATGGGATGCGCTGGAACGGCTGCAGAAATCAACGCGATGGAACGTGGTTCATGTCAGCTAGGGCGGCGATGATCCGCGATACAGCAAGGCGATTCTCCCAAGCACCGTCGACCCCCAGATGAGACGGCGCCACGTCGGTGACGCCATCGTCGCGACAGCCACGCCGTCGGGCCTGTGCTGTCGCCGCTTCATACGGGTGGTGCATGCGCAGCCGATCCTAACACGCTCACCCCGACCGGACGCGGCCTCACGGCTCGGAGTGGGGTCGCCGTCCGGCTCGCTGGTCGTCGGAGTTGACGATCTGCTCACCGCGTCAGGGGCGACGGGGGCGGTCGGCCTATCGCCGTGTCGACGCCCCGCGTGCTCGGAGAAACTCCGACGGCCGATCCCACGGCCGGCGGCCGGCCCAGGGATCGGCTCCGACCCGACGGTGCGACGGCTGGAGCGGCCGCACGTGCCCGTGGCGCCGTCCCTGTCGGACCCCGATGTCGCCACGTGCGCGCCACGTGCTCACGGCTCATGTCGCCTGCCATCCGCCGGTCGCCGCATGAGTCCGGCTCCGGGCGCGCCTGCGCCGCACCCGCCGCGACCGGCGCGCTCGCGGAGAGGCCGCCGTGGCCACGCCACACCCGGGAGAGCGCCGCACGGCCTTCACGCCGTGGCGGGCCACGGCGGCCACGGCGGCGGCGGCGGCGGCGGCGGCAGCGACGACGACGACGACGGCGGCGGCGGCAGGGCCCCGTGCTGGCGGCGGCAGGGGACGTGTTAGCCGCGGCCGCGCGAGACGTCCGTCTGCCGCGCGAACGGCCGGAGCAGGAACACCGCGGCCCATCGGACGACGACCGCGCCATGCCGCGCCGCGGCACCACGTGACGCCCGACCCCGCGGGCGTCCGCCGCCACGAGGCCCACGCTTCTGCCTGTCGACCGCCGCGCACGGCGTCCCCTCCCGCGCCTGACGCCCCAACGCCCGACGAGGGCCACCGTCCATGGACTGCCGGCCTCTCTGGCGCGCCGCGGCGCCCCTCGCCGCTCGCGGCGCCCTGAGGACGACGGTCCGTCCCATGGCCACGGCCGCGGCCGCGGCCGCGGCAGCGGCGCCACCCGCCGTCGCTCACCCGCGGTCCGCCGCGCCGGGGCCGGCATCGTCCTTCTGGCAGCGCTGGCGGCGCCCGCTCTTCCGCGGGGCGCAGCTGATGGCCGTGTATTTCCTGGTGCAGCAGCACGTGGCCGAGCCCACGATGGTCGTGGGCCCGTCGATGCTGCCGACGCTGCACATGGAAGGGGATGTGGTGCTGCTGTCGCATCTCGCGTTCACGCCGCAGGCCGGCGACCTCGTCGTCTTCAAAAGCCCCCTCGATCCGCGGCGCTTCGTCGTCAAGCGCGTCGTCGGCGTGCCCGGCGACACCGTCCTCCACGAGCCGTGGCGGCGCCTGACGCACAACCGCATCGAGCTGAGCAAGATCCGCTGCGACGGCCCGCCGCCGCCTGACGCGCTCGTGCCGCTCACCGTGCCGCCGGGCACGCTCTGGGTCCAGGGCGACAACGTCGCGAACTCGACCGACTCGCGCCACTACGGGCCCGTGCCCATCGGCCTCGTCGTCGGGCGCGTCGTGATGGCCCTGCGCTGGCCGCCCGTTCTATTCACCCGCAGCCAGACCCGCCCGCCCGTCGACGGCGCCCCGTAGCGCCGACGACGGGCTCACGCCGCCGATGACACGGACGCCACGTCGTCCATGTCCTCGGGCGCGCGCGGAACCGCGCCCGGCGCCGACGGCCGCGGCGGCAGCGCCCACCCGGCCCAGGCCAGCAGACTCGCGAGCTCGTCGATGACGGCCTCGCGCCACGGCGCGGCCAGCTCGCCATCATACCACGTCCACGCCGGCGGCGCGGCGCCGTCCGAGCCGTGCGTGGCCTCCACCGTCGGAAACGTCGCCAGCAGGAGGCGGTGGCCGCGGTCGAGCCCGCCGTACCCGAACGCAACGCCCGCGGGCGCCGGCAGCTGCGTCGCCGGCACGATCGCCTGGATCACATCGAACAGCTCGACGGCCTGGCCCGTCGTCACGAGCAGGACGCCCGGCCGCACCGGCGACCACGCGACGGCGCAGACCGCGGCGGCGTCGGCGGCGCCGGCGGCGTCGCGCTGGCCTTCTCGGAGCAGCGCGACGCGCCGGCCGCCGCCGCCGCCACCGTCGCCGCGGTCTGCGGGCTTGCCGTCGCGGACGGCCGCGAACACGGCACACCGCCCTGAGGCGTAGCCGACGGCCATCAGCAGCCGCGTGCCGTGCGACGCCGCCGGATGCACGGCGAGCGCCGTGACCGCGTCGTAGGGCGCCGACCGACGCGTGGCGCGGCCCCCGGCGGCCGCGAACGCGACGGCGCGCAGACGCCGCGCCGTCGCGACGAGCAGCACAAGCTCGAGCTGGCCGTCGGCGCGGCCCACGGCGAGCAGCGTCGTGGTGCGATCGATCGGATGCGCCGCCGCACACGTGACGGGACAGACGGGCGGCGGCCCCGGCGGCGGCGCCCCGGACCACGCCACGTCCTCGCTGGTCCATTCCGAGTCCGCGATCGGTGCAGCGCTAGGCGCGGCGGCCTGCGCGGCCGAGCCCGAGCCACCGCGCGAGGCCTGGTGGGCGACGAGCCGGCCGTCGGCATCGAGCGACCAAAACCCGCGGCTTGCCCAGGCGCCGACCACGACGATCGCCGCGTCGTGGCGCCCTGCACCTAAGGGCGTCTGCCACGTCGGCAGCGGCGCCCCGAGGCCGGCGCCCCGCTGCGGCTGCGGGAGGACGGACGCCGGATCCCAGAAACACACGGTCCCGTCCGCGGTGCCGGCAAAGACGTGACCGCCCGGGAGCGGCGGCGTGCAGCACGTGACCTCCGCAAACACTCTGCGCGCCGTCGTCACGCGCGCCACCGTCGCTGTGGGCGCCGCCGCCGCTGCTGCGGTTGCTGCTGCTGCAGTTGTGGCGGCGGCGGCGGCCGCGGTGCTCTCGCGCTCAAGGAGGACCTCCTGCACGACCGTCTGGACCGCGGTCGTCGCGGCGAAGCGGAGCACGAGTCCACCCGCGGATCCAGGCGCCGGCGGCGCCAGCGGCGGCCCCGCGCACGCGGCGACGTCTGCCGGATGCGCCGTGACCCGCGCGCCCTTAAGAAGGGCCGACCACCGCGTTCCGAGCAGCGGCGCACCGACGGACTCGGCCCCGTGGGCCGCGCGCGCCGCCGCGCCGTCGTGTGTGGGCGAGGGGTGGCGGGCGGACTCGCTGAGCATCAGCAGCATGCGCTGGGACGCCAGGGCTAGATCGATGGCTCCCGCGGTCGTGCACGACGTGGACGGCGACCGCCGGTGGCCGCTGCCAGTCTCAATGGCGACGCTGCAGAAGTTGGCGCGCCGCGCGTCGGTGGCGCCGTCCACGGGTTCATGTGTCGCGGTCCCGACCGACCGGCGCGTGTGGCTCAACGTCTGCAGAAACTGCTGGTACGCCGAGATGGGCGCGATCTCGAAGACCGCATACGTCGGCGACGGCTCGAGACGGACGTACCCGGCGAGGTCGCGCTGCCGACGGCGAAGCGCGAGCAGCTGCTGGCTCGGGGTCTTTCCCGGGGCGGCGGTCTTGGCTGGCGCCGAAGCCGTCGCCGGAATAGCCGCCGGCCATGATGGGTGCGACGGCGAGGTCACGACCGCGGCTTGGGCGGCGTCGCTAGCGGCCTCGCCAGTGCTGTCGTCGATTTCATCGTCCGGGTCGCTCCCGGCGCTGTCCGCGCTCACGTCCTCGTCTTCTTCTTCAAAATCGTCGGCATACGCTGGGAAGGGATCATCGGCACCGGCGGCATCGGCATCGACGTTGATCGCTCCGGTCTCCCCGGCTCGGGGCGGCCTCGGTGGGGGCGTCGGTGCCTTCTCATCGTCCCCATCGTCCATCTCGTCCTCTTCTTCAAAATCGGAGACGTACGCATCGAAATCGTCATCATACGCGGCATCGGCCGCGGGCACGCCAGGCTCGGGAACCATGTGCGACGACCCTGACGGCGGCGGCGGCGGTGCGGCGGCGGCGGCAGCGACGGCGGCGGCGGCCACGGGCCGAGCCTCCCGACGCGCCGTCGCCGCAGGGGCTGCCGTCGACGCGGCGGGCGACGCTGCTTTCGTGGCGCGCGCGGCGCCCGTCGCGGCGGCCGCGCGCGTCGCCGGGAGCGGGGGCCGCGGCGGGCGACGGCGGGCGCCGCCGGCGAGCAAGCGATCGATGTCGTTGGCGAGCCCGTGGTCGACCGCACGGGCGGGCCGCGCGGCCGCGGCGTGGCGGACGGGGCGGTCGCGCGGGCGACTCGCCATGATCACAACAGGACCGGTAGCACCGGTATGGAGGGAGGGATCATCCGGCGCGAGGACAGGCACGCGTGAGGAGGGGCCGAGCCGGGCGGTGGCGGCGTCCGGGGACCACTCTCACAACCACCGCACGGCGCGACCCCGTGGAGGATCGGTCGCGGCGGCCTCGACGGCGACGCATGGCAAGACGCGAACCTGGAACTTGGAACCCGGGGCCCCTTCATATCTTGAAGCGTGGTGCGTGCCGATCGGTGGCGCGCCGTGCCTCCCACGATCGCCCGGCGGCGCTGGTGGCTTGCTGCGCCGATGAAGGCAAAATTGCATAAAAATGATCGATAGCGGGCTCGAACCGCTGACCTTATCCGTGTGAAGGATACGTGATAACCAACTACACCAATCGACCCACATTTTTTTGTGTGACGGACTCGCTCCGTCACAGGCTTCCTTGAAGATCCTGACGACTCGGCGGACTTCAACGGACGATG